ATAAGCGCCTATACCGTAAAATAGACTTTCGACGGAATGAAAAAGACCTATATGGTAGAATCATAACCATAGAATATGACCCTAATAGAAATGCAAACATTTGTCTAATACATTATAAGACTGGTGAGAAGAAGTATATTTTACATCCGAGAGGGGCTCAAATTGGAGATACCATTGTTTCTGGTACAAATGTTTCAATCAAAATTGGAAATGCCCTACCTTTGACCGAAATCCCCTTAGGCACGACTATACATAACCTAGAAATTACACGTGGAAGGGGTGGACAATTAGCTCGAGCAGCGGGTGCAATGGCGAAACTGATTGCAAAAGAGGGTAAATCAGCTACATTAAAATTACCTTCTGGCGAGGTCCGTTTTATATCCCAAAACTGCTCCGCAACAATAGGACAAGTCGGGAATGTTGGGTTCAACCAAAAAAATTTGGGTAGAGCTGGAGCTAAACGATGGCTAGGTAAGCGTCCTGTAGTCAGAGGAGTAGTTATGAACCCCGTAGACCATCCACACGGGGGCGGTGAGGGTAGAGCTCCTATTGGGAGAAAAAAACCTACAACCCCTTGGGGTTATCCCGCACTTGGAAGAAAAACTAGAAAGAGGAATAAATATAGTGAGAAGCTCATTCTTCGTCACCGCAGTTAATATAATAGTATAATATAGTTAATAGAGTGAATATACTTAATGTAATATATATAGTATAAAAATTAATATAATAGAACAAATTAAATTTATTCATTCAATTATATGAAAAATAAAAAAATAAAAGAATAATAAAATTTATAGGAGTAAACTGTGGCACGTTCACTAAAAAAAAATCCCTTTGTAGCTCATAAATTATTAAAAAAAATTGAGAAACTTAACACAAAGGGAGAAAAAGAAATAATAATAACTTGGTCCCGGGGATCTACTATTATTCCAATAATGATTGGTCATACTATTGCCATTCATAATGGGAAAGAGCATCTCCCTATTTATATAATGGATGATATGGTCGGACACAAATTGGGAGAATTTGCAACTACTTTAAATTTTCGAGGACATGCAAAAAATGATAAGAAATCTCATCGGTAATGTGAATACTAAAAAATATTTTGATGCTTATAAGTCATTAGTAGGAGGCAAATTTTATGTACCAGATGCTAAATAAAAAAACCCCAGAAGTATACGTTTTAGGTCGACGTATAGCTATGTCGGCTAATAAAGCACGAAGAGTTATTGACCAAATTCGTGGGCGTTCCTATGAGGAAACACTTATTATATTAGAACTCATGCCCTATCGTGCCAGTTATCAAATTTTAAAATTGGTTTATTCAGCCGCATCAAATGCTAGTTACACTATGGCTTCAAATAAAGCAAATTTAGTTATTAGTCAAGCTGAAGTTAATGAGGGGACTGCTGGAAAGAAATTAAAACCTCGGGCTCGCGGGCGTAGTTATCCAATAAAAAGACCGACCTGCCATATCACTATTGTACTAAAAGATATTTCATTCAATGATTCTGAATCCGTGGAGCTCGGTTTGCTAAAAAAACCACAAGCGAAAAAAAATTCTAGAACTAAAGCATATTCTGATATCCAGAAAAGGAGGTATTTATGGGACAAAAAATAAATCCACTTGGTTTCAGACTTGGTACAAACCAGGCCCATTATTCACTTTGGTTTTCGCAACCAAAAACGTATGCTGAAAATCTGCAAGAAGATCAAAAGATAAGAGCTTTTATAAAAAATTATGTACAAAAAAATAGAATCAAACCCTCGGGTACCGAGGGAATTGCAGGTATATGTATTAAAAAAAGACTCGATCTAATCCAAGTCATAATCTATATTGGATTTCCCAAAGTATTCATTGAAAATAGCCCGCAGGGAGTTGAAGAATTACAAAAAGCTCTACAAAAAAAATTAAATTTCGTAAACCGAAAACTTAATATTGCTATCACAAAAATTGAAAAACCGTATGGAAATCCTAATATTCTTGCCGAATTTATAGCTGGACAATTAAAGAATAGAGTTTCCTTTCGAAAAGCAATGAAAAAAGCTATTGAATTAGCTGAACAAGCAGATACAAAAGGAATTCAAGTACAAATTGCGGGACGCCTTGACGGAAAGGAAATTGCACGTGTGGAATGGATAAGAGAAGGAAGAATTCCCCGCCAAACTATTCAAGCTAAAATTGATTATTGTTGTTATTCAGTTCGAACTATCTACGGGGTTTTAGGCATAAAAATTTGGATATTTTTTGATCAAGCTCAATAAAATTTTATTCATTCTTTTTACCTGTAATACCGAGCGGCCATTTCACAAATTATTTTGTGTAATGAGCAGGAACAGTTCTAATTGATAATAATGAATTCTATAAGGTTGAATAAAAATTTTATTTATTTTTAATAAAAATATCATTGCTATGCTTAGTGTGCGACTCGTTTATTTTTTAAGGTTAGCATGAAACCAAACCCAAAGTAACAACTACTAACTCGAGAAGAAATTACCTAATAATTAACTCATCAATTTCGCATTATCTGGATCTAAATAACCAGTCACGATATGATTACCGCTCATATCGTTGTAGCAACTGCCATTTATTTGCATAAACGAAAAATAGTATTCAAATATTATTGAAGTTGCGAAGCAAAATATAAAAAAGATGTGGATAATTGGAAGGGAGAGAGAAAGGGAGAAAAAGAAGCTCAATGATTGAAAATTCCAATATGTAGGGTCTAACAAAACAGGCAATGTAATGAAGCATTAATACTTAAATTCTGCATATTAAAGTATTTAAAATAGAATAAGAAATCTAAGAATATTCAATAATAAAAAACAATATACTCTTATTATAGAAATCTATAATCTATATATAAATATTCAATTAGATATTAAATATAGAAGAGATAAAATAAAAAAATAAAGTCAAGAGCTTAAAGCCAATAAAGACTAAGAAAAATGGCTAAAGACTTAAATTATTCATATATTATTACTATTTGAGCTCCATTGTAAAATTAGGACCTAACCATTAAGTAAGAAGTGATGGGGACGACGGAACTTATGAGAATACAAAAGATTCAATTCAATTCAAGATGAAATAAAAAAAAATCTTAAACATTCACTGGCTGGGATGGCGGAATAAACCAATGTTAAATTATTTTATTTCTAGATACTAGCTATAAGATGTCACAAACTCGTCCTAGAAATGAAATCTAAATTGACAGAGTCAATATTCGCCCGCGAAAACTTTTTTCAAAAGAATCAATATTCAATCTAAAGCAATATAAAGAATAGTCAAAAATGAAGGATTAGTTAGACTCAGAGAATCATGAAAAAACTGTAGAATAATTCATTTCAATTCAAATAGATTTAAAAAAAGATCACTCAATCCCTAAATATTATTTTGACTTCTCAGTCCAGACTTTTATTATCTATCTTTAGATTTAGATATCTTCACTATGATTAGTCAATTTGAGTCAAACGCTCATTTTGTAAATACTTTATTCGTAATTCGCGAGGAGCTGGATGAGAAGAAACTCTCACATCCGGTTCTGTAGTAGAGATGGAATAAATAAAAATCCATCAACTATAACCCCAAAAGAACCAGATTCCGTAAACAACATAGAGGAAGAATGAAGGGAATAGCTTCTCGAGGGAATCATATTTGTTTCGGTAAATATGCGCTTCAAGCACTTGAACCCGCTTGGATCACATCTAGACAAATAGAAGCTGGGCGACGGGCTATGACACGAAATGCACGTCGTGGAGGAAAAATATGGGTACGTATATTTCCCGATAAACCAGTTACTGTACGACCCGCAGAAACACGTATGGGTTCAGGAAAAGGATCCCCTGAATATTGGGTTGCTGTTGTTAAACCCGGTCGGATACTTTTTGAAATGGGTGGAGTAACAAAAAATATTGCCAGAAAAGCTATTTCAATAGCAGCATCAAAAATGCCGATACAAACTCAATTCATTATTTCGGAGATAGAATAGACGATATAACTCTAGAACCAACCCAAAGAATCTTAAGAATGAAACAAAAACAAAAAAAAAAGAGGTTTCGTTTTATGTTTGTGGACAAAAAATATTTCTTTTTTTCTTCGCCCTTTGCATTGTGAAAGAAAAGAATAAAAAAAATGCTATGATTCAATCCCAAACCCTTTTAAATGTAGCGGATAACAGCGGGGCTCGAAAATTGATGTGTATTCGAATAATAGGAGCTAGCAATCGTCGATATGCTTATATTGGTGACATTATTGTTGCTGTTATCAAAGAAGCTGTACCTAACATGCCTCTACAAAGATCTGAAGTAGTTAGAGCCGTAATCGTGCGTACCTCTAAAGAACTAAAACGTGGCAACGGGATAATAATACGATATGATGATAATGCCGCAGTTGTTATTGATAAAGAAGGAAATCCAAAAGGGACCAGAATTTTTGGTCCAATCCCCCGGGAGTTAAGACAATTAAATTTTACTAAAATCGTTTCATTAGCTCCTGAGGTATTATAAAAAAAATTAAAAAATGGAGTAGAATCTGTCTCACGTATATAACTTTAAGATTAAAATAAAGTAAGATAAACACAATAATCCATAGACAATAAAAAAAACACGTTGAGAGTAGAAAAATTTTTAGCTCCATAATTAGAGTTCATCATGGGTAGGGACACTATTGCTGAGATAATAACTTCTATACGGAATACTCATAGGGATGGAAAAAGAACAGTTCGAATCCCATCCAGTAATATTAACGAAAAGATTGTAAAACTCCTTTTAAAAGAAGGTTTTATTGAAAGTGTGAGAAATCATCGAGAAAACAACAAAAATTTTTTAGTTTTAACTCTGCAACATATAAACACTAAAAAAAGGACCTTTAGCAATATTCTAAATTTAAAACGGATAAGTCGACCCGGTCTACGAATGTATTCTAAGTCTAAAAAAATACCTAAAATTTTAGGCGGGATGGGGGTTGTAATTCTTTCTACTTCACGTGGTATAATGACAGACCGAGAAGCCCGACTGCAAAGAATCGGGGGGGAGATTTTGTTTTATATATGGTAATATTTTCAAGATGCCAATTAGGTAGAAACTTTCCATTTCTATGATTCCCAAATGGGATATTTTAGAATCTAATGAAATCCCCATTCCTTATTGCTTCTAGGTCACTGAAATAAAGAATAAAGTCCTTCGGATGAAAGAACAAAAATCACTTTCCTTTTTTCAAGAATTTTTTTATTAAGGAATCCTTTTCAAATAGTATGTTCTGGTTTTCTTTTTTATTGATTTAGATAATCAACTAATAAAGTAATAAAGATTGGATTATAAGTTCTTTTTGTGAAAATAGGCTAAATTCATTTTTAGTTTAGACGGATAACTTCAGAACAAGTCGATGAAGCTTTTGCAACACAACAATGATTCAAAGGAGTCATTTTTAAACTTAGCTATCTCTTTGGCAAAAATAACAAAATTAGAAATTGAAAATAAAAAAAAAAAATGAATGTTTTTATTATAATCTTCCAATCAAACCGAAACTCTAAAGTAAATTTAAAAGAAATGTAAGGAGTCTGAATATGAAAATAAGAGCTTCTGTTCGTAAAATTTGTGACAGATGTCGATTAATACGGAGAAGGGGACGACTTATAGTAATTTGTTCCAATCCCAGACATAAACAACGACAGGGATAATAAGACTTCGCAACTTAACTTAGTAACTAAACCAATTATAGAAATGAAAGAATCGTGAAATGGATATATCCATATAGTATATCGCTGACTCAGATTTACAAAATGCTTAATGGTAAAATATATATCGAGAATTAGTTCGCGTAGGAAGGGGGGACGTATTGGTTCACGTCAGAATGCACGTAGAATACCAAAAGGAGTAATTCATGTTCAAGCCAGTTTCCATAATACCATAGTGACTGTTACAGATGTACAGGGACGGGTAGTTTCTTGGTCCTCTGCCGGTACTTCTGGATTCAAAGGAACCAGAAGAGGAACACCTTTCGCTGCTCAAACCGCGGTAATAAATGCTCTTCGTAAAGTAGTGAATCGAGGTATGCTACGAGCCGAAGTATTTATAAAAGGTCCCGGTCTCGGAAGAGATGCAGTATTACGAGCTATTCATAGAAGCGGTATATTATTAACTTTTATAAGGGATGTAACCCCTATGCCACACAATGGCTGTAGACCCCCCAAAAAACGACGTGTGTAGAAATCAAAAGTGAACCTATATCAAGAGAAATAGAAGATTCACTAATATACTAAATCAAAATTTTTATGGTTCGAGAGAAAGTAGCAGTATCTACTCGGACACTACAGTGGAAATGTGTTGAATCAAGAATAGACAGTAAACGCCTTTTTTTATGGCCGCTTTATTCTATCTCCACTTATAAAAGGTCAAGCCGATACAATAGGAATTGCGATGCGAAGAGCTTTGCTGGGAGAAATAGAAGGGACATGTATCACACGTGTAAAATCTGAGAAAGCCTCGCATGAGTATTCTACCATAGGGGGGATTCAAGAATCGGTACATGAGATTTTAATGAATTTGAAAGAAATTGTATTGAGGAGCAATCTATATGAAAGTTGTGATGCGTCTATTTGTATCAAGGGACCTCGACATGTAACTGCCCAAGATATAATATTACCCCCCCATGTACAAATTGTTGATAACACACAACATATAGCTTGGTTGACGGAACCTATTGATTTTTTTATTGGATTAAAAATAGAGAGAAATCGCGGATATTTCAACAAAGTGGACCTTCACTTTGACGATGGAAGTTATCCTATAGATGCTCTCTTCATGCCGGTTCAAAATGCAAATCATAGTATTCATTCTTATGGGAATGAAAAACAAGAGATACTTTTTTTGGAAATATGGACAAATGGAAGTTTAACACCAAAAGAAGCACTTCATGAATCCGCCCGAATATTGATTGATTTCTTTATTCCTTTTTTCCAGATGGAAGAAGAAAACTTATATTTAGCAGATGCAAAACACACAATTCCCCTACCCCCCCTTATCTTTTATAATAAAGTGACTACACTTATAAAAAAAAAAAAGAAACTTTCATTGAAATTAATTTTTATTGACCAATTAGAATTCCCTCCCAAGATATATAATTGCTTGAAAAAGTCAAATATATTTACATTATTTGATCTTTTTAATCAAAAACAAGAAGATCTTTTAAAAATAGAACATTTTCAACTAGAAGATATAAAACATATATTGGGGATTCTAGGAAAATATTTTGCACTGTATTGATTATAAACTTAGGTTTAATTAATAAAAAAAATAAATTGAAACATTCATGAATATGAATTGACGTGTATCTAGGAAGAACTTTCAAGAAACGCTTCCCTAGATACACAAGCTTTGGTTTTTTTTAAATTGAATCAAAACTCCACAAAACAAATTTAAAAAAGACCTAAAGTGAGGGATTTTTCAATAGGTAATGTTGCACCAATGCCCAACCAAAAGGTAACTCCGGTACCAATAAAAAACACAGTGGTTGCTACTGGACGACGAAATGGGTTTTGGAATTTATTAACATTCTCTAAAAAAGGTACTGTTAATAATCCCGTAGGTACTGAAAGCATTAAAAGAACACCTAATATTTTTATTAGGCACTGTACGAAGTATTTGAAATACAGGAAAGAAATACCATTCAGGTAATATTTCTAACGGGGTTGCAAAGGGATTTGCGGGTTCACCAATCATTGAGGGTTCTAGAACTGCTAAACCTACATTACATGCAATAGTACCAAGAATAACTACTGGAAAAATATATAAAAGATCATTGGGCCATGCGGGTTCCCCGTAATAATTATGGACCCATACCTTTTGCCAATTTAGCTCTTAATACAGGATCATTCAAGTCAGGTTTTTTTATTATTGGGATAGGTGAAGTCTTAGAGATCCATCCCCCGAGGGAACCGGACATGATCATTTTTAATCATCCAGCTCGAGCAAGACTCAAACAAATAATTAAAAAAGAATTAATCATTATATGAATGAACAAATACATTTCTAAAGCTAGGTAGTTTATAGGTTATCTTAGAGTCGTTAAGAGTCTTTATATTCATTTATACACAAAAGATAATCTATGATATAGAAATAGTTCAATGTAAAAGAAAAAATTTGTTTTTATCAAGTGAACCTTCTCTAGTCAAAAAATTAAATTTCTTTTCTTATTTGCTTACGCGTCAATACTCAAGACCCAAGTAGGCTTAATTTTCTGATAGGATCAAGTGCTTTTTGGGTCGTCTCCAACCTTAGAATGCGTATTTATCTGAAACTATTTTCAAAAAGTTTTCATATTTTAAGATACGCAGAAAGGTTTACTTGTTACTAAAAAAAAGTCCCAGTTTCTTTTCTTCGTTAGATCTCTTGTTTCACTCCGATAGTATTATCGAGATCGGACCAATGGAGAGGAAATGACTCCATTTACAGATTCTATATTAGCGTTTAAAATGTTAAATAAAAATAAAAAGTTTCTAGGATCTTTTTATATTCAATATTGGATTTTACGGAGCCTAATCATGTATAACATGATTTTTATATGATCATAGAATAAATTATCTTCAAGGGAACCAGCTTATCCCTCACATAAGGCTTATGCGCCAATTGGAACAAAGACACATTTGGGTGGTGATAATTCAAATGTGGTAGGCTTATATCTACATGGACCAATCAATAGTTCAGGTCGCACACTCCCATAATCCATTTTATCGTAAAATTGATCTTCAACTTCAAAGAATTCCCCTCGCCTATTTGTGTATTCATGTAAAAAAAAAAGAATATAGGAAGGGTGAAGATAAATATAAAAAACCATTTCTTATTCTTTTAAAGAATGGATTTTTTTTAGCAATGAAATACTATTACCCCTCCTCCAAGTGAGAAATAACATATCTTACAAATTTTTTTTATTTAGGATCTCTTTTTATTTCTATTTTGATTTATAAAGGACCAGAAATACCCTGTTTACGTATCATTGAAAAGTGCATTAACATAAATACGGCAGTAATAAGAGGCAAGACAAAAGTGTGTAAACTATAAAAACGAGTCAAGGTGGATTGCCCCACACTAGCGCTTCCTCGTAAAAATTCTACCAAAGGTGATCCTATTACAGGAATAGCTTCGGGTACACCTGTTACAATTTTCACTGCCCAATAACCTATTTGGTCCCGAGGTAACGAATAACCGGTTACGCCAAAAGATGTTGTCAATACAGCTAAAATTACACCTGTAACCCAAGTCAATTCACGAGGTTTTTTAAACCCACCTGTCAGATACACACGAAATACATGCAGAATCATCATCAATACCATCATACTTGCTGACCATCGATGAACCGATCGGATTAACCAACCAAAGTTCGCTTCAGTCATTATGTATTGAACAGAAGCAAACGCCTCTGTAAGGGTCGGACGATAGTAAAAAGTCATAGCAAACCCGGTAGCTACTTGTACTAAAAAACACGTAAGCGTAATTCCCCCCTAAACAATAAAAAATATTGACATGTGGAGGAACATATTTACTAGTTATATCATCTGCAATCGCCTGAATCTCCAGACGTTCTTCGAACCAATCATAGACTTTATTGAGATAGGGTAATTTCCCCCCCCTGAGAACCGTATATGAGACTTTCATCTCGTACAGCTCAACCAAAAATGTCCAAATACTCATTGCGCCGGCCAGACCAACACATAGATTATATTCAATAAAATGCGAAATCTATTATTTCTTATTGATTTTTTTGGCACTAATACAAACATATCAAGTTAGCTCAGTTGTCTTTATTTTTATTTTGACGGGCTTTTTGAAGCTTCTCTTTACCTATCTTTTTTTTTATGGAATGATTCTTTTTTTATTTGTTTTGTTTATTTGATTGGATAGGAATTACCTTGTTAAGACCCTATAAATCGAAAAAAACCTAAGATTCCTATTTAGAACCACGATTAAAAAATTGAAACGTAATCAAGGATTCCCTGAGTAAGAACCTTTTTAAATTAACTTTAACCATACTAAATAGATGGAATTTTTATTTTGGTCATCCAGAAGGTTTTAAATAATCAAACCTTCTTGGTTTCAAAATTTTTTTGGAACCCGGGCACGAGGTCTTAATAGGAAGTCTGAATCATAGTTCAAATAGATCTCGTGTTTCAGATACTCGAATCCATATCTGACGAATCAAATAATCTCTGGTAAGTAAGATAACCAAATTTTATGGACTATGAATAGGATCCTTTATAACAAGTCACACACTCATATTCCGGAAATGATAGAAATAAATAAATAACACGATCGAACTACCACAATTACATAAAATAGAATGCATTCTAAATCTTAGTTAAAAGGGCGCCGCTTTGAATAAAAAAAGTGGGACTAGGTTTCAATTCATTGAAATTCCATCCAATAAAACGGAAGAATTATAAATCTCTAAAATAATAGATAGAAATATCGCGAATAAACCCATTGCCAAACCCATTAAAGGTGTTGTTCCCCACCCCGGAGCTACTTTACCGTATTCTGAATTCAATGGTTTTAATAAATTACCGATAGTAGTTTGTCTTGGACGATATTGAGAACCTTTCTCACTAGTTTTTGTAGCCATAAATCCTCTTTTATTCAATTTTATTTATTGAGAGATCTGTTAACTTTGTATACCATTGCGTTATAAAGAAATGATCTTAGCATAGATCCTTTGGAGTATTTTAATTATATACTAATAAAAAAATGGAAACAGCAATCCTAGTGACGATATTTATATCCGGTTTACTTTTTAGTTTTACTGGGTATGCCTTCTATACCGCTTTTGGACAACCTTCTCAACAGCTAAGAGATCCATTTGAAGAACATGGAGATTAGTTGAAGTAATAAGCCTCCCCACGGTGGAGGGCTTATTACTTCAAGTTACTATAGCGAAAAATTATTTGATCTTTTTCATTGGTACTTTAGGGGGTTCTCGAAAAAAGATAGCGAAAAATATTATTCCTAGAGTCGAGACTAAGAGGAATGTATAAACCAATGCTTCCATAAATTACATCGTAGTTTCCAATTATAGCTTTCCTACCTATTTTTGTTTTTTTTATCCTATATCTTACCCTATATCTTACTTCGCTTCGGATAAAGAAAGAACGAAAGACAGATATCAAAATAATAGGATAAATGATATATCAGACAGCTTGTCGTCTTGTCGTTGGATCTCCCAGTTTTTGGAATACTCCAAACTCTACTTGCACATCTAAATCTGGGTCAATCCCAGCAAAAACATCTCTGAAAAGGGTTCTAGCACCATGCCAAATGTGTCCGAAAAAGAAGAGCAATGCAAATGAAGCGTGCCCAAAAGTAAACCAACCTCTTGGACTACTCCGAAAAACCCCATCAGATTTCAAAGTAGCACGATCTAATTCAAAAATTTCACCGAATTGAGCGCGTCTAGCATATTTTTTCACAGTAGCCGGATCATTAAAACTTACTTCATTGAGTTCACCACCGTAGAACGCAACAGTGACTCCTACTTGTTCAACACTATACTTCGATTCTGCCCTTCTAAACGGAACATCGGCTCTAACAATTCCATCACTGTCTACTAGAATAACTGGAAATGTTTCAAAAAAAGTAGGCATACGGCGTACAAAAAGTTCACGCCCTTCTTTATCTCTAAAGACAGGGTGGCCTAACCATCCAACTGCTATTCCATCCCCGTTATCCATCGAACCTGCTCTGAATAATCCTCCCTTTGCTGGATTATTACCGATATAATCATAAAAAGCTAATTTTTCCGGAATTTTCGACCAGGCTTCTGATAAACTTTGATTTTCTGCTAGTCCCGTACTAACTCTTCGATATATCTCTTGTTGGAAATAACCTTGGTCCCATTGATAACGGGTGGGGCCAAATAATTCAATTGGGGTAGTCGC